TTTGTATCTGTCTCTCTCACCTTAAACCTATGCTGTTGAGTTTTAGACTCCCCTATCCTGGGGAAAAGCTGTTGACTATCTACCTTATCTATGCCTCTCATGATTTTGTAGACCTCTATAAGGTCACCCCTCAGTCTCCTATGCTCCAGGGAGAAAAGTCCCAGCCAATCCAACCTCTCATCATAACTCAAACCTTCCAGTCCAGGTAGCATTCTAGTAAATCTTTTCTGCACTCTTTCCAGTTTAATAATATCCTTTCTATAGCAGAGCAACCAGAACTAAACACAGTACTCCAAACGTAGCCTCACCAGAGCCTTGTACAACCTCAAATTATATAAGTAACCCTTAAATGGATGTATGCCATTGGCTGTAATCATTCCATGTGGGAGCAAGTTTCATATTCTCATCACTCATTGGTAAAAAGGTTACTCCCAAATTCCTGAATGGATTTATTGGATGCCGTCTTATACTTAAAAAGTGTTCACATGGATTACACAGTGGTGAACATCACAGAGTAATGTGCACTTTGTTGAAGGGTCTAATCTGCCTTTTTATATGTGTGCTGTCTCCTGAAGTTTTTAAATGTTAGTCCATTGTTGTTTTCTTTACTCATCCTTGGGACAAGGCTGTCCCTGACAAAACCAGCATTTATTGCCCGTGAGAAGGTGACACTGCTGCAGTTCGCGTGGTGTAGTGATACCCACAATGCTGTTAGGGAGGGAATTCCCCGATTTTGACCCATTAATACTGAAAGAACAATGATAATAGGCTCAGAGAGGGACTTGCAGATAGTGGTATTCCTATGTATCTGCTGTCCCCGTCCTTCTAAGTGGAAGAGGTCACGGGGTTTGGGACCTGCTGTTGAGAGAGCCTTTGCTAGTTGCTGCAGTGCATCTTTTCGGTGGTCCACGCTGCTGCCCATGTGCCCCAATAGCGTAGGCATTGGATGCTGGATAGGGCACCAATCAAATGTCTGCCTTATTCTGGACAGTGTCAATCTTTAGAGTACTGTGTGGGCGCCACTCCTCTGGGCAAGTGGTGTTGGGGGTTGGTGTTCCATGCACTTTGGACTTGTGCCTTGTAGATGGTGCACATGCTTTGGAGAGTCAGTAGGTTGCTGCTGTATTCCCAGCCTCTGCCCTGTAAAAGTCATTGCTTAGCTTTCTCCTCTCTGTAGAGCTGGTTGAGGTGACACACATCAATGATTGTCACACCCTTTGACAGCCTTTTCAATGTGGATCATAGATGGCTTCACAGGGGCAGCAGGAAAACTTCCCCACGCCCCCACCCCCACTATCGCCAGCACCACCGTCTTCTGCAAGTTTGGGATGGAGTCTTTACTTTTCTCTTTAAATGGATTGACCCAGTGCTAACCATCAAAACCAGTCAACTCATTGCCTAAACCACTCTACATTCAATCTTGCACCTTTGTCATTCCAGTGCTTAACGTACCTTTGACATTCCCGTTAAAAACAAAATTAGCTGGTGACGTTCAATAATAGGACTATGTCCCTGACTTCCCTGACACTCAGGATTTCCTGGAGGAACCTGCACCTGGGAAAGGCTGGTGACCTGTCCCAGATCCAGCAGGGAAGGTCAGTTCTCTTCCACGGTTACCGCAGCAGAATCCCCAATTCTTTCTTCCTGCTCTGTGTTTTTCAGCACCGTTTGTTACTGACGTTGGTGAGACCTTGCTGAGGTCCCATGTGTGTCAGTATGATCACTGCGTAACACAGTCCGATAAAGTCGGTGCTTTAGTTAAAGATGGTGAATGAAGGGCAGGGGGCAGACAGACGCCTATCACGTTCACACAGGGCAATTTACACCAGATAAGAAACCAAAAATGACGGAGCGTGGAATGAGTTATGTTTATTTTGACATGATAATAATAAGCTACCTCCAGGAAAATACAAATGATGGCACCCCAACATGGTGCCACTGGTGGGAGAGTCACAGTGTTTGGCATTAAGAGTAGGTTAGCAGCTAGAATTTCTGCCTGTTTAATGAATTCTATCTACCTAATAATATCACGAAAGCATTTAAGAGTTGACTTTAATTATATGCATCTATTATAACTTCAGTGCCTGTGCTTTTGTGATTTAATCAGGCACCTCTGAATGCCTAATGAGTCTGTGTGGGCATGTTTCCCTACTGTTTGGAGGTTTAACAAGGTGCTGATGCTGTGGCTGTGATACCGCGCTGCAATTTATGTTAATAGCCGTTAAAAGTGCGTGTGAAATTCAGAGTGGAAGCACAGGAACCCATTTACATATTGTACCAATTAACATTGGGAAGAAGGGTGAGGGAATTTCTGTTAGTTGGTAATCGTCAGGAATGCACATAAAAGATGGTGAAAACCTTTGATTCCACTGTGTGCTGGTGTATTTACATGTTTGCCCAGTGCCTTTTTTGAGATGGTGCTGCTGCAGATAGGATGGATGGAGAGAGGAGGTGGTGGAAATGAGCAGGAACCAATTCTAGTCACTAAAGCTGGAGAGATTTCCAACGAGGCCATTTGGCCCATCACACCTGCGCCAACTCTTTGAGCCAGCTGACCAATTTAGCCACAAAGCAAACCCTTGCAACAATCCCTGAACATTAGACCCTTCAGTTAGAAGTCCAGGTGCCTCTTGAAAGCTTTAAGCCATATTCTTTGTGGGGGTTGGGGGGTAGTCTCAGCACAGGAGCTCTTATTTTGTCGCCTTGTTCCAGAAAGATTTTAATTAGTTCTTTCCTCATCACTCTTTGGTCGTAGCTACAACGTAGTAAGCCAATATCGAGTGGTCCTCCAGTAGGCCCCATCAGCTGAGCTCTCAAAATCTGCAACACACTTTCCGCCAGGTTCATCGGCGTGCAGAATTAGATGCCTGCAGGCCCACTAACTTGGGACCAAAAATGGACACCCTCCAGCCCCTACCCCAAACTCTTTCACCGAGACTATCCCCACACAATGACCCAGCAGGTGGGAGACTGAGGATGTGACTTGTGAATAATATGTAGTATCTATGGGCACGGATAGCGTGAATAGCCAATGTCTTTTCCCCAGGGTACGGGAGTCCAAAACTAGAGGGCATGGGTTTAAGGTGAGAGCGGAAACATGTAAAAGGGACTTGAGGGGCAGCAGAGTTGTTGTGTGTATGGAACGAGCTGCCAGAGGAAGTGATAGAGGCAGGTACAGTTATAACATTTAAAAGACATTTGGACAGGTACATGAAGGATTTAGAGGGATGTGGGCCGAAGCAGGCATAGACGAGTTGGGCCGAAGAGCCTCTTTCTGGGCTGTATTACTCTGTTTACCAGGAGTATGACTGCCTTCTACTGGCGAGTGTAGTGTGATGGCTAATGGATGGTTTGACAAGAAGTTGACACGTTTGCACTTGTGAGGTGAATCCAAACCTTGGGATCCATAACACAGTCATCAATAAAATTTACTAAGGAATTCAGGAGAAACACCATTGATTGTGAGAATGGGGAATGCGCTGCCATAAGGACATGAACAGCATGGAAGTCAGATAGACACGATGGAGAATAAATAGAAGAAGATGCCAATGGTGGCAGACGGGGCTGTGGCAGCGGGTGGGGAACACTTGTGTGAAGCATAGACCAGTTGAGCCAAATGGCCTGTTTCTGTTCTTTTTTTATTCGCTCACAGGGCATGGCCATCGCTGGTTGGGCCAGCGTTTATTGCCTGTCCCTATTTGTCCTCAAGAAGGTGGTGGTGAGCCACTTTCTTGAACTGCTGTAGACCACCTGCTGTAGGAACACTCAACAGAGCTGTTAGGAAGGGAGTTCAGGGATTTGGGAAGAGTGACACTAAAGGAGCGGTGATATCCTTGCAGACTTTATTGTGCTTCGAGATGGTAGTGGTCTAAACCTGATGTGAATGACACCAGTGACGTTGAGTGGATATCTCACCGTGCTAGGTTGTGAAATTGCTGAGAACTCACTGTGATCATAGATAACCCTGTGAGGGTACAAGCCCAAGCAGTCTATCCTCCGTGCCCAATTGACATGTTTAATGCTCACCTCAGTCTCTGAACTGAAGAACAGTCACCCACAATCTTCAACCAATTTTGGTAAGAAATATTGCCCGCATCCACTGATCAGGTGGCACTACCGATGTGATCCAGGGATAAAAGGAATGTGGTTGGACAGTTGACTGAAACCAGTGTTGTTTCTGTCAGACATTGTCACATAGTTTTGGGAAGGATTTCAAAAGGGAATGTGTATCTTCTTGAACCGCCCCCTAGTCCAAAGTAGGGAATGAGATTCCCGTTGGCTTGCACTGGAGTGACGCCGGTTCCTGGCACTCTGATGTGAAGGGGCACAACTGCTTTGGGGTATTGTTAATGCTGTGCCGCTGTGGTGCCACCTCTATGTCTCCTTTCTGCCCCAAGAAGATCTCTGACCCACCAGGGTTCAGCTGAAATGACTCTGTGCTTAGGGCCACAGTGGGTTAATTACATTAGGTTTGGGTAGGTAGTTGGGAGCAGGCATTGCAAGCAGGCTGGCAGTGTTTAAGAGGGCCTTAAGAGTCTTTCTTCTGTCCCTAACAAAAAACATCTTGAATTTAGATTATGAGCAGTTTGGTGACATTTCTAAACAGAGGCTTGCAGCCTTGGCAGTTAGTTAAGGGGCTGTAGAGGGGTCGGCAGGGAGAGGAGACAGAACACATCCAAATTGCTGAAGTTCCTCAGAAAAGGAACCTTCCCCTCAGCCATGTGACTGCTGTTCAGAATCGAGGATGGTTACAAAACTTCATGCTCAAAGCGATAATTGGCAGAGGGTTCAATGAGATGCCGTGGACCCGTTAGACACAAACAGTACACACTTTGCGATTGATTTTGTTCTGGGAGGTTGGGGGAGGTTGCGGGAGGTTGCGGGTTGGGTGTGATAGTGGGTACAGTCAAACCTGTCCCAATGGTCACCTAGTTTGAAGTCGCCTATCTTAAGCAGCCAGTTCTTCTCAGAACCAACAAATTTCTAATTTAATTAAATAGGGTCTGCACCCGGATTAAACAGCCACCTGCTAACGTGGCCACAACCACTGGTAAAAATGACAGGTAAGCAATGTAAGTAAATTGGAACCTGCATCTTAGAGATTAGTTTGTCACCCTGATACGCAGTCAGGATCTCTGTCCCTGTGGGGAAGAGGGTGGGGGGCGTCGGGGAGGGATTTGGGGAATGACACTGAGCACAAAGGTCTTAACTTCTTGATTGTTCTTCCCCTGCTTTCCCCATCTCCCCCCTCCCCACAAATAAATACCCCAACCTTGGTTGAAATGAACCACCTTGGGTCAAGCTGGAAGGTGACTGTTTAATGCAGGTTTCACTATAAGCGGGATTTGGAGTGTCCTTCAGCAGTAATTGTTACTTCCAGCTTTACTTCGAAAGCAAATGGCCTGGGTTGGGTAGACAGCCACTCTCCCCCACCCCCTCCGGCACCCCCCAGCACCCCTGTTCCACCATTACTGGCAAAGTCACCCACCACCTCCAATGGCGTTGAAAGTTGTAGCTAGCATTCTGAAGGGTCAGACACTTCATTGGATTAGACGTTGTCATCAACGCCACACGCAACACCCACATTTGCAAAAAGTCTGCCAGCTCTCACAGCGCGTTTAGATGTGATGTAGCCAGGTTGTAGTGAAGAGGCAATCTCAGGGTGGGAAGGGACTTAAAGAAGTTGCAGTCAATCTCGGAGGGGAGACACCTTGAGATACTGTCATGCAAAATTAACACGGAGATGTTTTTGATTGTCCTGTTCTGACACGCCTGCAGAGCAGGTGGGACTTGAATCTAGACCTATAGGGGCACTTGCACTGCGCCACAGATGCCCCTGAAAATTAGCACCTGCCTTGACAGGAGAACGCTGATGTTGCAATTAGAGATGTGACAAAAGGCCAGCGTGTCAGTTGTCACCTTATAGTTGTCGCTTCATTCCAGGGAAGCCATCTTGGCATAACCCTATTGCTTTGATTTGCTTTCTTCCCCCTTTCCCTCACTACCACCTCCAGCTAAAAAAAAAGGTTGACTTTGTTTCATTGCAGTTTTCACAGCAAGAGAATTTTCTTCTTGTGTAAGCTGTCACCATGAATTGAAGCTCCAAGTTTGAACAGATAACTTCTGATCCATTTTCCCAAGCTCATTGACTAAGACAGGCCACCTTAAATTCTGAGAAGCGATGCTTTAAACCAACAGTGGGAACTTGAAATCATGAGGGACATGGCTTCCAACTGCACATGCTGCATTCCCTTGGGGTCTTCCAGTGAGGAGGTGCTGTCCCTCATGTCAACCACAGACCATGTGACAATATCAACCAAAGTGGTTCATTTTGCGAAGAAAGACCATCAACAGGAACTCAGTGTTCAAAGGCTGTGTTCAAAGAAGGGGCCAGTTCCTCATTGTGATTTCAATGTTCCATTTATGTGGGGATCTGGTGGGTAAACCTGTCCTGTCAGTTGCCAAACAACCACCATACAGACCTGGGTCCACTGAAATGGGAATTCTGAAGCCTTTTGAACATCTGTAAGTGCAGTGTTACTAATGGCGTGATGGACGGGAATGGCAGAATTGATGCGAGGTGGGAAGCGGTGAAATTAGTCTCCAGCAATTCCAGACAGTACCCAGTTTTACTGCCAAATCCCATCTTTGCTGTTGGAATGGAAGTGGAAGAGATGGGGTGGTGTCTGCAGATATGTAAACTGGCCTGACAATTCGCTGTTTATATTAATTTATATATTTTTAATCAACCCATTCAGATGTGCCTCTGGAGCAGGTGGGACTTGAACCCGGGTCCCCTAGCCCAGAGCTACCACAAGAGCCCTTTTACCATTTTTATATTTTCTCCAAAGACTAGTTTCAAACCCGGTGTTTACGATAGTCCTTTGGGATAACCAATTCTCCCCTTTTCACTGCCGAGCCCCGTGGTGACAATCTGCTTTCCCTGTGGGTGTTTCTGTCCTTGTTTCTTTTTTTTGCACTTTGTCCAAGCCATCCTAGAAGCCGACTAGTTTCTTCACGAGGCCCTAGACTTTGCTAGAACTGTTGACTCTTTATGTTTAGACTCTGGATATCGTTCACTGTAGCTGCCATTTTATTAACATGCTGTGTGGTAGAATTCTAGCTCCTTTGTAGTTTGCATGGGATGTGAATGCTGTCTCAACACGGCCTGATCTAGAGATTGTTATTTCTGCATGAGCATCAGATCTGATGTGACGGAAGGTGTCTCAACATGCGCCTCTTGGTCTTATCTGTGTTGAATGACTGTGTTACTTGGGGATGGTTGATGGAAGTGGGTTGGGGTGCCTCGGAGCTTTTTAGCTGTAGTAACGAGCTGACTATCCATCTCTCGTAAGTACTGCTGTTGTCTTTATCGCATGGCCTTGGATTGAGTGTTAGAAAAATGGGGCCTTAGGCTGTCGTAGTGTTTGGCTTTTGATTTTGTGCATGCCCTGCTCGTGCCTTATACCCAGCTCTATTCTCTACACACCAGTCCTGAATAGCTACAGTGCTCAACCGAATTATGGCGCCCCTGCTTCTCCAGCAGGCACCAACCCACCCCGACCTGGTGGATTTCCTGGAGCCAACAGTCCAGGCCCGGTCGCTGATATCTATGGTACGGCCAGCCAAGACTCTGGTGTCGGTAACTACATGAGCGCTACCAGTCCCCAGCCTGGCTCTGGCTTTGGACACAGCATTGGGGTAAGTGAGGTTTCGATTCACCCCTCTCCTCTCTGTTTACCTCCATCCACTTCACTGTTCCACTGCCTTCCCTTCTCTCACTCTCTCTCCCTCTCTCTCTCTGTCTCTCTCTACTTTGCACTTGTTTTCCACCCTTGCCTAACACAAGCATTTGGTCTGAAACTAAAACCATAAAGAGCTGAGAGACAATCCCTCCAACCCTAACCTCTGACCAAGGCTTTTTCCTTCGGTAGGTAACCTCACAGACCACTGGTCATCTACAAGTGTTGCAAATCCACCCAATATTTGAGGCATGAGGCACCCGAGCTCTTCTGAGAAGATCAACAAGCACGTTTTAAAGTTTTTGTTTAAATTGGGTGACAGTCATGTAATGGAACAGTTATATCGAGGAGCTCAAAGCTCCAAGATTTCGAAATGACTGGAACACAAGTACAGCCTCGAATATCTCTGAAATCTCGCATAAATTAGCAGCAGTCCCTGATTGCTAATGATGCTCTCCTCTGCCCGCCACTCACCGGTCCTTGCAACTCAGTTAGCCTTCTCCATCAGAGCACAGGGTGGCCAATATCCGTCTCCCCGACGCCAAGGTCAGAGGTTGGATTGGCTTTCATCTGGAGTGTGTTATCTGTATCTCCTGAGCAAGTGAACATTGTCACATCCTCATTCTTTCTATTTTGTTTGGTGTAAAGAGGTAAAGTTTATTGGAAATTGTTCATTTGAAAGCGGGCGGGGGTGGAAAATGGGACGATTGTGCTATTTTGAACAGAAAAGTATAAGTGATGTATGTGTGTGGATTTTAAAAGTTCCATTACGTACATTTTGTCCTTTAGCTGTTAAGCCATGTAACAGTAATAATTTTCATATCCATGGCACAGGCGTCCTGTACAGGTATATAAGAAAAAGTCCTCGAAGTACAGTTAGGGCACATCATCCTATTGTGGGTGAATCACAATGTCACACTCCAGAAGGTTCAGTAACTCTAATAATTAATACTGAATGTTTGCTGTTTAACTTGCAGTTTTTTTTAATTAAATGCATGGTTAGCAACATTTGCTTAAAGAAAGTGAAACAAAAATATTTCTGTCTGTAAACAACTGCCTGTATCTCGACCATGAAACAGAAAACGATATTTGGAATGTGTCATACTCAATGGGGCAGTGGGTGCCCTAGTTATTCTATTCCTCAGGATTAAAAGATACTGAAATGTTACATGCAACGGGAGAGGGAGGGAGCATGAAAATGTTACATGCAACAGCCCCAGAAAAGCTATAGATATTATACACAACACGATCCCGGATATTATACATTACACCCAATGAGACTGGAGGAATATTGAATGTTACACACAAAAAGAACAAGGAAACCTTCAATGTTACAACAAACTATTCTTTACAATACAACAATGACATTAAACATACTAGATACAAGAAAACCAGGAAGCATTTACAAGATAATAAATCTGGGCTATCAGACATGTTATGTAGATCATGATCATACTAATTAGCTGCTTCGGGGCTGTATGAATGGGTATTTCCTACGCTTGAGCTTAGTGTCACTGTGGTTCTCAAGTTGTAGTTGCAGAGGGGGACATTGGGATTTTTACGAAGTAATTAAAAATGCAGAAATAGTCACAATCCTTGATACCAGTCTCAAAAGAGTATGTTTATATCTTTGGCCAAATGCCTGTAATATTTCATCAACATAATTTGGAAAGTTTGAATTGGCAAGAGACAGAAATGCTTTTGTTGCATTTTCCTTAAGGCTAGTTTAATGAATGATCTGATGCTGTGTGCAGCATGTCTGGCTGGAAGATTGCCTTCATGATGATCCTAGTGGGCAGTGTTTGCGTTGGTCTGTGGAGGCTGCGATGTTTTGCCTTCATCCAGTAATGGTTTCTGTCCCTTCCCTCATTTGGTTTTTGTTTTTGGTCTTTCTTCTCTACCCTTTTGGTGGCTCGTGTCGGGTATGGTTCCACTGAGGGTGTGGGGGACAGATACCAATTCTTGCCTGCTAGCCTTGTCTGGTTGCTGGCACTGTCCCAGACTCGTTTGGCATCTATGCACATCCGTTTTCCAGTGGGACCGAGTGATGACGGAGCCAAAATCCTGGTTCATTTTCAGTTCTCTCACTCTGGGCCCCTTCCTCTCTGTGCCTCCCCCCCTCCACAAACCGAGACCTCTGAATTCAGACTCCTAAACATCCATTTTGTTTCTCTGCATTCCCATTGAATTAGGAACTGTTGTTACTTTTCAGTCAATGTAAGAGAGGATCCTACAGTCCCCCCCTCGATGGACCCCTGTGATGATTTCCTTTCCCAGGTGACCCAACTAAAGCCCTTCGAACCGTCTTGCCAGAAAGATCTGGAAAGTAGTTCTGCCAAGTCTTTAGCTATTCTGCTCTACATTGTACCTGTGGCTATTTCAATGGTCAATAACTACAGTAATTTCTCATATAAATAGACAACAAAGTCTACTCAAGAGTCTCATTCATACACAGTCACCATACCATTAGCTAACTTCTCTGGTCCCATCCCTCAACAAAATTATCCTTCAAATAAAGCTGTAATTCAGAATGAATTTCCCTGTGGTTTATGGGGAAGTAGCTTGACCTGGAACTGTCAGCTTACGATCTGAATGCTGATATTTCTTTCCTAAATGTTTTCATTGCTAATGTGAACACAGGAATTAGCAGCAGCAGTAAACCACACAGCCCTACCTGACCGCTGTGCCACTCATGACTGATTGTACACCCTTACACATCTTCCCCTTCCCTATCCCTATGCCCATTGATTGACTTAGTATCCAAAATCCATCTAACTGGACCTTGAACATCCTCAAAGAGTGAAAATCCACAGCCCCCCTGAGAGACACAATCTCAAAGATTCGACGTGAAGAAATTTCTCCTCATTTCAGTTCTAGTTCTAAATTCACCAGTGAAGGGAAACGGCTCTTTTCAGTAGCTACTCTGTCAAGGTCACCTTTCAATGAGACCATCCTTTGTGCATCTCGACTCTGGAGAATATAGGACCATTCGATTGAATTCTGATCCAGCCAATATAGACCAATGAAATGAAATGCTTTGGATTTGAAACTCGCCTTTTAACTGTATGTGTTTGCGTCAAGATGCTGTGCTCAAATATTAGATGTGTTGGCATGAACCCATATTAATCCTGAAGAGAGGCTGTCAGTCCTATTAAGATAATTCATTGCCAGACCCTAGCGTATCACAACTGGGCTCTCACTATGCTGTGACCCTGAAGATATGCGATGGTGTATCAATATATGACTGAGAGTCTGAAATTCCTCTTCCCCCCCTTCCAAGAGGGACCTTAGCCCCATTTATGTTGCCAACATTGAAACCTGTGCAGAAGTAACGGAATGGAATTTGACACCTGCTCATATCCTGGCTACGTCCTTTCAGGATCAGTGCTTTGTAAATTCTGTGCCATCTCTTGTGGCTGAGAAACAGCATCTTCTGTTTCCCAATCTCCTTTCCCATCCCCTATCATAGATTCATTCTCACTGCATAACTCTGGTGTTTCTCCTCCCCACCACCTCCTGCATCTCATTCCCATCATGAATGAAAGCACCAGAGCGTTTTTGAGTTTCTCCGAAGCCTCACCAGGCTGCTGGATTTGACACTGAGCCTCTCGGAGGAGGGAGACTCCTGCTCTGTGCTGAGTTTGCCAACCTAACATTGGAAATTTCCTTGTGTGAATCGGGCACCAGTCTCTGATTTCTGTCCTCTACTGGAGCATTGTACGTGTATCCACGGGGAATGCAGGGATAGGCCTGAGGGGTCCTTGAATGAAATGGCCTACGTTCATTGCGTCTGAAGAATGGACCTTTTGGCCAAATATTGAAGGGTTATTGGCACCCAGCACCAATACAAGATCCTAGTTACTGGGGTGGGACAAAGGTCAGGATGGAGTCAGAGTACAGCAGAAACACCAGTCAGATTTGTCCATTAGTACCAAACCCAGCAAGCCCAGAACAAAAACAGAAGTTGCTGGAAAAGCTCAGCAGGTCTGGCAGCATCTGTGAAGTAAACAAAATCAGAGTTAATCTTTCGGGTCCAGTGACCCTTCCTCAGGACAGCAAGCCCAGAGTTCATTAATCACTCACCCCACTAACCAGGCCAAAAGGTGATGGTTTTAAGAGGATATACATACCAGGACAAGTTGGTCCATTCTGTAGCCCCATGACTGGTAACAAAACTTGAGAATACAAATTGGGAAAAACAGATCAGGGTAGATTGGGGATTGACAGCCTCTCCAAACTGTGATGCAATGAAGAACTGGTCAATTCGAATACAATATGTTCCTGGTCCAGATCCCAGAATTCCGTGTTTCCAATATATATGTGAGCTTCCAAACATGAGTTGTGTATAATATGATTTGTTGCTTTTATTATTCTTTAAACAAAGGTTCAGGTCCCTAATATTACAGAAGTGCAGGTCCCTAATATACAGTGATACAGGTCTCTAATACACAAATCTTCAGGTCCCTAATATGCAGAGGCTAAGGTCCCTAATATATAGATATTCAGGTCCTTAATATCCAAAGGTTCAGGTCTCTAATATGCAGAGATGTATGTTCCTACTACACAGAGGTTCAGGTCCCTAATATACAGAGGTGTAGGTATCTAAAACACAAATATTCAAGTCCCTAATTAATAGGTCTGTTTGTACAGAGGCGTAACTCCCTAATATAGAGAGGTGATAGAAAGAGTATGTAGAAACTATACTCTATATTGTTTCCTTACAGAAAGGGTAGCAAGTAATGGCACCAAGAGCCACTGACCCCAATAACAAAGATGCTAATTCTTATGGATTTATATAGTGAGGAAGCAACACTTAAATTGATGTCTATTTCTAATCTAATGTTGCAACTGTTAATCACCTTGATCATTATGAGAAATTGTCTGTAAAAAGTGTTTTACATACCTCCCTCCCTTTAGATCACAGAGTATCTGTGAACGAAGAAGCCAAATGTGTTACAT